CCTCATCGCTGCCTACAACTGCCTGAGAGGAGGCTGTAGCGAGGTGGGGGTCAGCCTCTTCTCCCTGGTAACAGATGATGGGACGAGGGGGAATGGTTTGAAGCTGCGCCAGGGCAGGGTTAGGCTAGATATTAGGAAAAACTTCTTCACCGAAAGGGCTGTCAGGCTCTGGAATGGGCTGCCCAGGGCGGTGGTCAAGTCCTCATCCCTGGAGGTATTTAAAAGGGTGGATGAGGTGCTTAGGGACATGGTTTAGTGGTGGGATGGCAGGGTTAGGTTAAAGGTTGGACTCGATGATCTCAAAGGTCTTTTCCAACCAAAGTGATTCTATGAAAGTGCGTTTGAGCTTTGCCTGCTCCGCTCCGGAGCGACACGGAGCTGTAACCATCTCCCAACTGAAACACAACTTTGTTGTCCATCCCCCCCCAGCTCTGACTCTAGCGATGAGAGACAGAAATGGAGTAAGAAGAAAAGCAAAAGCAGGGACCATAAAAGCCAGAAGAAACACCGCTCACGGTCCCGGGGTCGCTCCTCCAGCTCGAGCTCGGAGCGCGAGCGAGACAAGAGGAGAGCCCGGAGCAGAGAGCGGCGGAGGAAGAGAGATGGCTCTAAGTCTTCTGTGTCCTCCGTCAGCTCCCCCTCCCCGCCGCGCTCCCGGGGCAGGGAAGAGACGGGGCAGCAGCTGAGCCTCCAGGAGCGCCTGAGGCTGAAGGAGGAGAAGAAGAAGCAGGCTGCGCTCATGAAAGCCTTGGAGACGCCCGAGGAGAAACGGGCTCGCCGGCTGGCCAAGAAGGAGGCCAAGGAGAGGAAGAAGCGGGAGAAGATGGGGTGGGGAGAGGAGTACATGGGTTACACCAACACAGACAATCCCTTTGGGGACAACAACCTGCTGGGCACCTTCATCTGGAGCAAGGTGAGCTCTGCTCCGAGTGCTGTAGGAGGCTGCTCAAAGGCAATCGTGCCCTGCGGCTGCCATGGAACAGGATGGGGGAGCCGTGGGGCGTTCGAGGGGGGACATCATTGCTTGAGGTGGGAACCCCTGTAATGCTAAAAGCAGCCACATGAGAGCAAAGCGCTTGTCTAGGCCAGCAGCTGGGTGTTTCTGACAAGCTCAGTGGGGTTTTACCCACTTCTTCCTGAAGACCAAGGTCTGTGGGCAGGGGTGCGGGATGGGGAGGTGGGTCAGGGGGCGGGAGAGGGATGCAAACCTGCTGGAAGCTGCCAGCTGAGTGCTGGGCAGTGTTTACTGGTGTGTTAGCGCTCGCCAGGTCGGGTGGCTGCACTGGGCTGAGCCTGGCTTTTGCTGAGGGGCTTTGGGAGTAGGATTTGAGGGATGTGGGGACCTTCGACAGGATCGGAGCTCACTGGAGCAGCAGAAGCAGGTGGCTGCGGTTGCATTTGCTGGCGGGTGCGGGGCTGCAGAGGTCACTGAGTTTCATGGCTTCCCTTGGCCACTCTGTTTCAGGCACTGGAAAAGAAAGGGATCAGCCACCTGGATGAGAAAGACCTGAAGGAGAGGAACAAGCGGATCCAGGAGGACAATCGCCTGGAGCTGCAGAAGGTGGGATCAGGTGTCCCCTCCCTCCTACCGTCTAACAGAGAACCCTGTGGACAGCCCAGTTCTCCCAGTCGCTCACCTCAAAGCTCCCTTGTTCTTCTCACTGGGGGTGCCCATAGGCTGTAGGATCCGGGGGGCACAGCATGCTGCCTTCGGCTGTTCCGGGTGGGAAGACTCTTCTGGTCGAGTCCCCATCCCTGGAGTTATTTAAAAGACGGGTGGACGAGGTGCTTAGGGACATGGTTTAGTAGTGGGCAGGTACGGTTGGAATCGATGATCTTAAAGGTCTTTTCCAGCCAAATGACTGTGATTCTCTTGGGGCTGACTCCAGCTCGGGAGGTGCTGAGGAGGACAAGTGCCAGGTCACGGCACTGAGGCACGCGGTTGTGCCTGTGTCCCCTGTCCTCCAAAGGGCAGGCAGCGAGCAGCAAGCATCCCAGCGCCCCTGGCCCATGCTGGCTCTTCATCCGCGTGGCTCCTGGCTCCCCGGGGAGCCTGGGGCCGATCGCAGGAGTGGAGGCAGCTCAGCGAGCAAGGTTACAGCTGCATCCTCAAACGGGTGCCCTGCGCGGGCGCCCCATGCGCAGTGGCCTCAGCGTCTCCCTCCGCCCCGGGCAGGTGAAGCAGCTGCGCCTGGAGCGGGAGCGGGAGAAGGCGATGCGTGAGCAGGAGCTGGAGATGCTGCAGCGGGAGAAAGAGGCAGAGCACTTCAAAACCTGGGAGGAGCAGGAGGACAACTTCCACCTGCAGCAGGCCAAGCTGCGGTAGGTGTGCGGCTTTGTGGGGACGGGCTCGCCAGGGAGCAGAGGGTGGCAGGCACCGCTCACTGTCCCTCTCTTGCCCAGGTCTAAGATCCGGATTCGGGATGGGAGAGCGAAACCCATTGACCTTCTGGCCAAGTACATCAGCGCGGAGGACGATGACCTGGCTGTGGAGATGCACGAGCCCTACACCTTCCTGAACGGCCTGACCGTCTCTGACATGGAGGATCTGGTGGAGGACATCCAGGTGCCAGCTCAAGGCTTCCCCCCCTCAGCTCTGCTTCCCTGCCCATGGTGCAGAGCGGGTGCCTGATGTCCTCCTTGTCTCCTGCCTGCAGGTTTACATGGAGCTGGAGCAAGGGAAGAACGTGGACTTCTGGAGGGACATGACCATCATCACAGAGGACGAGATAGCCAAGCTCCGCAAACTGGAGGCCTCTGGGAAAGGAGGACCGGGTAAGCGGGAGGGCAGAGCCTGGTGCGGGTGTCAAAGGGAGTGTGAGCGGTGGGTAGAGCAGGGCGTGGGGTCTGCCACGTACGCTCGGGCTCCAAGGGGTGCTCTGGGATCTGCTGGGTGGAGGCTGTGGGTCTGGCTGCCATCCCCTGCTGGGGCCCAGCCTCCTGCTGTCGGGCGCAGCCCAGGAGGGACTGGGTGAAGGCAGGCTGAGCGCTCGGAGGCTGACTGGCTGCCCTCGCCTGTCTGTTCAGGGGAACGTCGGGATGGCGTCAACGCCTCTGTCAGCTCAGACGTGCAGTCCGTGTTCAAGGGGAAGACGTACAACCAGCTGCAAGTGCTGTACCAGGGCATCGAGAGCAAGATCCGGGCAGGAGGACCCAACCTTGACATTGGGTACTGGGAGAGCCTGCTGCAGCAGCTGAAGGCTTACATGGCTCGGGCCAGGTGAGAGCAGGGACTGTCCCCTGGCCAGGGCATGGAAAGGGACAGCGCAGACCCTGCCATGAGCGGAGCTGGGGAGGCACAAACCCAAAGTCATTGGTGAAGGGGTTTTACACCTCCTCTGAGATGGTTGGTTCTCCCAAGAGGGGAGAAGGGCTGGACCTTCTCCAGCAGTGGTGTTTACAGTGAGGTGTCCAAGAGGGAACCGAACTGGAGGGTTATTCAGCCCCAAACTGTACGGAACCCAGCAGATTTCTGCCCGATGTGGTGTTGTGGCTCTGGGCAGTGTGGGCATGGGGTGGTTCTGCTGAGTGGGACCCGACAGCTCATCTCTTCGCAGGCTGCGAGAGCGGCACCAGGATGTGCTGCGCCAGAAGCTGTACAAGCTGAAGCAGGAGCAGGGTGTGGAGAGTGAACCACTCTTCCCCATCATCAAGCGGGAGCCGGCCTCCCCCAGCGACAGGTACGCAGCCCTTTCCTTGGGGAGCGCAGCCATCTGGGTCTCCTGTGGGGCACCCGAGACCCGAAATGCAGCCTCGTGCTCCCATCCTTCCGTAGGCAGACCTCAGGTGAGCAGAGAAGAAGGGTACCATCCCCGTCCCAGTTCTCTCTTCTCTCTTCCTTGCAGGCTGGATCCAGAGGAGAGCATTGGGGTACAGCCAGGGCCGTCCTCGGAGCCGGAGGCCGAGCAAGACGCAGAGGCCAAAGGAGAAGCAGAGGGGGAGGCCGTGCTAATGGAGGAGGACCTGATCCAGCAGAGCCTGGATGACTACGACGCGGGGAAGTACAGTCCCCGGCTGCTGGGCGCCAACGAGCTGCCCTTCGATGCCCACGTGCTGGAGGCTGAGGAGGATACGCATCGGCTGCTGCTTCTGCGCCAGCAGCTCCAGGTCACAGGTAGGAGCCCCTGCCTGGCACGGGGGGCGTGCGTGTGCTTGGGGTGCAGGGCTGGAGGGGGATGCTGCCCCCTAGAAAAGGGTGAGTAAGAGCTGGGTCTGGAGCATGCATCCAGAGCTGGCCTGACAGAGGAATGCCCCCAGCAGCGAAGGGCACTGTGGCCCAGACAGGAGCAGGGAGGTGGGGCTCAGACCACGGGGGGTCCCTGCGTCGGGTCCTTCCCACTCCCAGCTGCACCACCGAGCGGTCCGGGCTGCGGACAAGCGGGAAGGGCGCTTTGGATGAGCTTCCCAGCACAGCTCAGCCCAGCGCCCCCCTGGAGTCCGCAGGGCAGCGTGCACACCTCCGTGTCCAGCTCTGCATCCCCTGCCCGGCATCTGCTGCTCCTTCCTTCCGCACGCCGCGGCGCGGTGCCCCCGCAGCCCGGCCCAGCTGGCACTGCAGGACCTGATGTCACCTCTCCTCCCTACAGGTGATGCTACTGAGAGTGCCGATGACATCTTCTTCCGTAAGGCCAAGGAGGGCATGGGCGCGGATGAGGCGCAGTTCAGCGTGGAAATGCCCCTCACGGGCAAGGCTTATCTCTGGGCTGACAAGTACCGGCCCCGCAAGCCCCGCTTCTTCAACCGAGTGCACACGGGCTTCGAGTGGAACAAGTACAACCAGACCCACTACGACTTCGACAACCCTCCCCCCAAGATCGTGCAGGGCTACAAGTTCAACATCTTCTACCCTGACCTCATCGACAAGCGCTCGACGCCTGAGTACTTCCTGGAGGCCTGCCAGGACAACAAGGACTTCGCCATCCTGCGCTTCCACGCCGGGCCGCCCTACGAGGACATCGCCTTCAAGATTGTCAACCGGGAGTGGGAGGATTCCCACCGCCATGGCTTCCGTGGCACAGGCACTGTCCCACGGACTTCCCCAAAGCCTGGCTCAGCACTGGGCCCATTCCTGAGAGTTTTCCCTGTCCTTGCTTTTATCCTGAGGGACCCTGGGACTTTGGCAGAAATAAATAGGAGTTGTTTAAGCTGTGGTGTCCCATGCATGGGCACCCCTCTCCTGCATGTTGTCACCAACCAGTGCCACACTGGGAGGTCCCCTGCTCCTCTGGGGGCTGGGGGAGGTTGGGGGGGATGTCGTCACTCCCGCACCGCTGGGCTCTGTCACCCCATCCCCACATGCAGTCAGCCTGGATGCCGCAGCCTCTGCTCTACCTCCCCCCACGCTCCCGCTGCTGCAGACCCCCCCGCACCCATCGCCCTCCCAGCCAGACCCATTTCTGGCACTTTCTCCCCCGATATCCGCTTTCCCCAGCCTGGGAACACCACCGCCTCCCTTGACCCTTGGCTGCCGGATGAAAGGGTTCAATGGCTGCGAGGCGTCTGCCTCTGGCTGGGAGGGGGGGGTGAGATGGGCTATCACTTACGGGGTAAAAATCCGATTTCCAGAGCCTGCGGTTGCACCCCGTTCCCCAGCAGCGCTCTCCCTAGACCCTCATCGCTGAGGTGGGGGTCCCCAAGGGCCTCGAGCAATGCTCAGCAGGTTTCGGGTGCCTTGGGGAACATTTTGGGGCTGAGCTGGGACTCCTGCGTCAGCAATCGTCCCACATGGCCCCGTGCCCACCAGCTCCCGCGCCCTCGGGGTGTCCCTGCTCTGTGCTGGAGCAGGCAGGG